GGGGGAGGGGGAGGCCTCCTGGCCGCCCACGCCACCAAGTGCTCCTGTATCAGTATCTGCAAGTCAGCAATTCGCTGCTCACTCTCGGCTAACCGCTCAGTAATATACTGGTGGGTGTATGGATTAACAGGTAGATTACGGTATTGTTCTCTCTTGATAACATTGAGCTTTGTCTATTGTTCAAGTTTTCTGACTTAGGCATCGGAGAGGTTTCCGGCACACACCCGCCGGCTAGCTCACGTTTGTGTTTTCAGGTGACAAAGCGACGTCGTACGGAGGAGCGTGGACTTGGTCAACAGGATTATACGAGGAGAATTATTTCCTCCCCGTACAATAATCAATCCTTCAAATGTCATAATAACCTATATATAATACACACACTTTTGAAGATGTGTACAATAACATGACCCTTCAGATAGTAGAACCTTACAACTATTATAAGAAGAAAAATATCAATCAATATGTATGACAAAGATGAATCTAAACAGTTCTAAAGATTAATCTAACAACATTAAAAGATTTGCTAGACAAAAGTTAATACCTACAATTCATAAAATAGAGACTTGAACTAATTGTTCAATGGGACTTCAGGGACATTACAAAAATATATGAGACTTATTATGGAACGAATTCAATAAGAGATTTTCTATTTGAAAACCCCAACTTATAAAATCTGAATTTTATAAAGCTTTTTAATAAATTGAAGGTTCTTAAAATTATTATTACGAATTACGGCTAATCCACATAGATTTGAAAAACATTGAGAAAAAAATCTATAAGTTGACGCACTTTTAGTTTTTATTGTAAATCACACTTTGCGCCCCTAAAGCATTACTACTACATTATTTGGCCCTAAACTTTATTTCCCAATTAAGTTCTTACACCGTTGAATTTTTGTTAGTGTGGTCTCTTTGGAAGATGTATCTATGGAAGATTCTACTTGCAATATAAATTAAAATTAAAAATTATTGATAACGATAATGTATGTTACATAATTTTGAAATTATTAAAAAAAATGATAAATTTAAGAACAAATTACATTAGTGGTCCTTACATTTTGCCCCATGTATCATTTTTGTCCCTATACTTTTAATTTGTTTAATTTTGACTCTTAATTTTAAATTTTGTCTTTGGTCCAAGTGATACTGTCGTTACTATTTTTGACGGAAAATAATTACTGAATTAATTGAGGTTAACATATTGAGTTGAGTAAATTTATAATTCTACTCTCAAAACTATGACCCATGCCACTTATATGCATATATTTCATAAAAAAAAAAGAAAAAAAAAAGAAAAGCGAAGAGTTGTAATCAATTGAACCAAATTGAAACAAAGTCATAAATTCAGGGTCAAAATTGAGCCAATTAAAATTACAGTGACCAAAATGATACAACAATAAAAGTACAAGGACTACTATCATAATTTACTCTAAATTTAATATAATACATATTGAAAATTAACATAAATTAGAGGAGACGTGTGAAATGAGTTTATAATCAAATTTTACATATAAATATACATACATATAAGAAATAAATAATAAGAAAAAAATTGGTAAGATTGGGATTGTTGTAGAATTGGGATCATAGTGGGATTCTACACAATTTTCTAACTAGGATTGTAGTTACTTATCTTACTAAATTTAAAATCTTAATGTGATTCGGATCATTTAGTCCAATTGAAATTGTAGAATCGTAAGATCCTATGATTTGGATTAAGATTTTAACAACCATAATGAGAATCCTTGTACCTCATTATCTAGTGACTAATTTGACTCCCCATCATCTTGATCACCCTACAGTATGCCAAAAAGAAATTTAATGTGTATTTTTATATATGGTAAATTTAAGAATCTAATAAAATGGGTTGGATTTTTTAGCTTAAGAATCTAAAAATCTATTGTAATAGATTTGTAAGAACTGCTTTACATTTAATTATGTAATTATGAAGTATATTAATTTGAAAACTAAATATAACGCCTCGATATTTTATTCATTTACAATTACCAATATCTTATCATTATTCCCAATTCCATACTAAAAATAAGAGTTTAATGAGATTTAAATAGAACATAACAATCTCGTGACCCAAAAGTCTCATTGAACTTCCCAAAAGTGATACATATTCAAGTTACATTAGAATCTTTCCAACATACAGAATAAATACAACAGCAGTTCAATGAGCTAGAGAGATACAAATAAAGACACCCTAATGGTTTACATCTTTTAAGGCTTTGGCTTTAATTACACAAAAATTTAAAACACTAACTGGAAGCAATTAAACTTTACAGCTGTAGCAGAAAAACACCAAAAGAGCCTCCATGCTCCATCAAAATGTCTCCCCCGTCTAGTCAATGGGATGGATTCACATCATCCTCGCCTGAAATTGTTAATTATAATAGAAATGATCAAAATTGCCCATTAAAAATATATTTAACAAAGTATATAAACATTTGTGATCATGCCAATACAATGTTATGCAAAAATCAATATCTTTGTTTCTTCACAAAACAATGATGCATCCATGCACTTTTATTTCAAACAAACTGATATCCAACACCAAGTGATAAACACGCATTAAAACCGATGAAAGGGCAATTGGACACCTTCACACCCCACTCAGGTACCACCAATGCCATACTCAATACATTTTTCAAAACCAACTCACTACCCGGATTACTATGCCATTTACCCCCTTTCAAGATTCCAAACATCCTGTAGTAAATCAACATGAAGTAAAACATGAAATTTAATGCAGTGCATGATTTGGCAATATATAACAATTTAAGGTTCCATTAAACTTTAAAAGGACAGACATTATAATCCATAGAGAAAAGAAATCACAACTTATAGTGCTCAATAGCTTCCATAGTCATCCATCATTATACATAAATCCCAAATTTCATATCATCATAAGATTTCCAAGTGTATCAACATAACATCAACTCAATTTCATCGTAAATATCAATTTATTCTCAAATCCCTCCTTTAAAACCAAAATCACAAACTAGGATTTTGTAAAGATTGAGGGTTTTCCTCATTTCCTTCATAAATCAAAGATTCGTCAAACAAATAGCCATTTTCACTCGAAGACATTCAAAACATTTCAAAAGTTTGAGTGAAATCCCCTTTTTAAACTTCAACACTCTTAGAATCAAAACCATTTATTTCATACATCATTATATGTAAGAAAATACCACATACTCATATCAAAATATTGATATACAAGATTAAAGGTATTCCTACCTCAAAGATGAAAGAGAAAATAAGAGTTGAAGACCCAAACTTAAAATATTGATATACAAGATTAAAGGTATTCCTACCTCAAAGATGAAAGAGAAAATAAGAGTTGAAGACCCAAACTTAAAATATTGATATACAAGATTAAAGGTATTCCTACCTCAAAGATGAAAGAGAAAATAAGAGTTGAAGACCCAAACTTAAAATATTGATATACAAGATTAAAGGTATTCCTACCTCAAAGATGAAAGAGAAAATAAGAGTTGAAGACCCAAACTTCGATGACGGCGAAAACAGGATCTAATTGGTCCCAAACATAGCTCTTGATGTGATCTAACTTTTATCCTCATGGACTAAGGGTTGATTTCACCTCTAAGTACATGAAACGCAACCTTGAAGAGCTTGGAACTCTAACAATGGGGGGAGAGAGAGAGAGAGAGATCAGGAGAGGTGAGAGAGTGAATGAGAGAAATTGAGAAAAATTAGATAGTATTTCTATTTATAGTGGAAGGATAAAATGGATAGTTGGGTCCAAGATTAAATAAAATATAAAGTCAAAAAATTTCAAAGTGTGGCGTAAAACATGGCAAATTTGTCTTTGGGTTTATGTCAAGTGTTGCCATCACAGGGAGGGGTGTTGACACCCATGTATGATGGTGCAGTAAAACAGGTTCAACACAGGTGGAGTGTCGACACCATAGAGCCTAGGTGTTGACATTCAGAAGCAGTGTGCACTAGTGCACCCAAAGGTCAGGCAGTGCCGACCCCAAATTGCCCAAGTGTTGACACTTCTAAGCAGAATGCACCCGAGTCACTCCAGGCCAGAGGGTGTCAACACTAGGAAGAGAGGGTGTCAACACCCAAAAACAGAAAGCCGAAGAAAAATGAGAGGGATGCAAGTGTCGACACCTAGGAGCTCAGCATCCACACCCAGATCAAAATTTCAACGTTCTAAATCTCCTTTCTGACATATTTGAATGCGGATGAACATTCTTATCAAGTATAGAGCAAATTTCACTCGCTCAATACAATGATATGCCATCCAAAAAGGGTCTCAATAATAAAATACAGATATTAAACCCATTAATCCATTGACTTACAACGCACAGATGTTACACTAAATGGATGATGTATAATGGAATAAAGTTTGTTGTGCTTCAATGTGTTTGTAACCATGTGAATGGACTCGCAGGTTAAACTGACTACCATTGAAAAATTGGACATCTTTGGAATGGAGAATTTGATGGAGATTTGGCCTGGGGAACTTCAAGATAAACTAAGAGAGATGAAAGTGTGCAGCTGTCATGAGCTCTCAAATATTCTTTCCTCATCCAATTCAATTAAGGGCATGCAAAATCTTGAACTACTTGAAGTAAGGGATTGTCGATCTATTGGAGTAGCCTTTGACCGTGAAGGACTTGTTTGGGAAGGAGGCATATCAGATATGGCATTCCCTTCATTAAAAGAGGTGAAACTAATCCATCTGCCAAAGTTGACACAAGTTTGGAAGGACGATTCACCAGGAATTCAAGGCTTTCAAAATCTAAGATCCTTAATAGTAAATGATTGTGACAGTTTGAGAAATCTATTCTCATACTCTCTGGCCAAACTTCTTGTGAAACTACAAGAAATAGAGATAACTGAATGTGGTATGATGGAATCGATCGTTGCAAATGAACCAAATGAAGATGATGCAGTGCTAACAAATATAATCATGTTTCCTCAACTGAGTAGTCTCAAACTCAATGATTTGCCAAACTTTAGGAGTTTCTGCTTTCAAGCTTGTACGTTTGAGGGATCGTTGTTGAAAACAATAGAAGTAAACAACTGTCCCAAAATGAAGGTACTCCCATCAGCATTTCAGAGCAAGCTAGTGCAACAAAAGGCAGACTTTTCAACCTCATCTCTACACCATCTCTTGGATGGAAAGGTACGTTAATTAACTTTAAACTATAGCATTCACCATTAATTAGTTATCATTTCCTGCAAAGAAAAATGGATGATAAAGACGTGTGTTTTTTTAGAATAGACCAACTTTTTTTTTTTTGGGTGACAAACTTGACAAATTGAATAGGTTACAATTACTAGATCGAGATAATTTTGTTTGAAAGATTTACACGGACTCTAAAAGTAACGGTTTGGATATTTCAATAATCTAAATCGTTTATTTTGTAAGTTTTGTGCATAAATTATCAATAAAAAAATCATGTTAATATGATAATTGTAACAATGTAATTTTATCATATTTGTGTCCAAAGAATGGAAGATTGTCCAGTTTTTTGAATCTATTTTTTGAAAACAAAAATGATAAAATCATATTATTTTAATTATCAAATCAATATGATTAGTTTATTATTATTATTATTGTTATTATTATTATTATTTTGATGATCTATATACTGAGACTTTTATAAAAAAAAAAAAAATGATGTAAATTACCAAAGTGGGACTTGTGATAAGCGTACGCCCCTGCCCAGCCCAACCACTGTCAAATTTTTAACTAAGATTTATTAGGGAAACAAAATTGTAAACATCAATTCTTAGAGTTCTCTATTCTAGTTTACTGTTGAACAATAAATGGACTAATAGATGCGCACGTGGACAAATCGACAGATTTGTTAATAAATAATAGATAGGTAAATGTTAAGGATGTCATCAATCGCTTGGAGGTGGTCAAAACCAAATTCTTTTATCTTTGATAGAGATGGTCATGAGTTCGCGAAGAAATTCCGAATTTACGATCGTGAGCTATCCCTGATTTGTGTAAAAATGATATGATCGGCGAGGCATGTGATTAGCCCCGTTTGGCAGAGCTGTGAGAAAGTAATTATAACTTATAGCCTAACAACTTATAACTTATAACTGTGAACATAAACTGATTTTTGACTTATAAATTAAGCTTCTCCTCTCCTACTTAAAGAATAAGTTGATTTTTGACTTACAAAAAGCTATAAGCTGTATTATTAAGCTGAACCAAACACATCAAAATAGCTTAAATTAAGTTAAAAGCTAAAATAAGCTAGAAATAAGCATTACCAAACAGGGCCATTGTATGGATGCCGGTTTTTCGAAATCAAAAACTGTCCTTTGTTGAACCCTCTACGGTCTACCCTCTTTCTCCATATCCCAGTTCTAGCGTTTGGTAGATGTAGAGAGAGGGGAAGATAGGATTTATAGACAATTGGTCCCACAATTTTAATTTTAAATTTAAATGGTTGATCTGAGTGTTCTTTATTAAACTAATATATTGATAATATATGAGATGATAAATTGGGTTAATTCTCCACCTTGATTTGAACATAACTCCCACTTGATTTCAACGGTTTGGGATGTTCAATTAGTCAATCAATACCGATCTAATCCAATTTTATTTACATATTTTTTGAGTGTGTAAACATATAAATATATTTTGATTGGTGCAGAATAATACCACTTATTAAAATTATGACTCGTTAAGAAGATTATCCTTATAAAAAATTAAATTAATTTGAATACTATAGCTACATTGTTAGATTACATTTATCTTCAAAGTAATAAACAACATATAATCAAAATTATAATTGTTGTCCATTTCTATAGGACAAATGTGATCTAACCATGTATTTAGAGTTGTTTGGCCAAACAATTTGATTTTTGTACAAGAATGATTTTCTCGATAGATTATTAGATAATATGAATGTCTCAGATCATTGAGGTGGGCCTCGTGATGGGCCTAGAAGCCCAATAACACCTCCAATTAATTTTGCCAATTGAGAGAACACGTTATACCCTAATTTGGTATATTATTAAAGATTCTTAAGTCTCTTTAGTTTTCCTAATTTGTCCCTACGCAAATTCTCCATTCAATGTTCATAAATTTTTTTTTTAATGTTCTAAAATCCATAATTTTATATTGTTACTCGTGATAATGTGACAATAAGACTTTTTGGATCTTGTTTCTTAATGAGTTGAGCATTTTTTTAAAAAAAAATGATATAACTATTTAAGCCGTAACTATGACATTAAAAAAATAAAAATGATTTATAAATAGAATTTATATATATATATATATAACTTATACAAAATTAGGTGCCAGTAACATTTTACAGTTATGAACTACAACGAGATGGATGTTTTTTGTTTGACATGCAAACACTACAAAATGTCATATTATTTGTATGAAATTATTGTATAATTATTTTATTTTTATGTAAAAGATGTAGAGCCTTCCAAAATAGAAGCCTGAAGCCTTTGCTTTGGTGGTTGTGATAGCGGAGGGTGGTGGTGGTAGGGTAGCGTTGCTAGGTGATGGGTAGTGTGGCAATGAGTGCTGATGGTGGTAGGGGTGCTGGGTTGGTGGTGTTGAAAAGATTTTAGCATGGGAAATGCTTTCAATTTTATAAAATGGAAATTTTTTTTCACACAAATTAATTCATTTTCCAATGACTACACAAAACGTTTTTGCATAACTCTTTTTTTTTTTGGTAATCTTGTAGTCTTTGTATTTTGATCATTGTGTCATTTTAGTCTTTATAATTTTAATTAGCTCACTTTTAGATGCACAATTATAATCTTGCCCAACTTAATAAGTTAACCTCTATCAATTCAAAAATCATTTTCTGTAAATTAAAAAAAAAAAAAAAACTAAGGCCTTGTTTTATTAACAAGATTAATAGTGAAATGATTAATAATCCCCATGAATTAGTGTATGATTAGTTATCTGAGTAAATTAGTGAGATAACCATTTATTATGTATTCATTTTTTTTTTCTTTCATACTTGAAATTATGATTCATAGTCCCTCTCAACATTGAAAATTCACCAATTCATCGGATTGAATGCCGGTACATGTAATCCGATTAATAAAATTTTAATCAAACACAAAATTGTCAGTCCATGAACTAACAATCCCAATCTTATGTTATAATCCTACTAATCAAATATGTCCTAAAGGTATTATCAATTGGATTAAATTGACACAAAATTTAAAATTAAATGTCAAAATTGACCAATTAAAAATGTAATGACTAAAATGATACAAAAAGTAAAATTTAAGAACTACTAATGTAATTTATCATTTTGTATAATGCTTGCAGAGTGAGATGGTAACTGTCTAACAGATGTTAAAGGAGAGAGTTGGATCTGTACAATTTAATTAGAAAAGGCGATTTCTCTATTTAATTTTTGGCTTGAAGCACTGCTAATTACTACAGTTTTTCTTGATGATAGACTACCGCATTCTAAAATTCATTTTCAAATTCCATACAAGCTCTTGTACCATATGGAGTCTGACTATTCTATTTTATAGTTTTGTTTGATTTATGAATTTAGGTAAGAATTTAGGTAGAGATTTAGAAAGGGAAATGGAATGGGAAAATATGTGTGAAATGTAATTATATTTCATTCGCATTTCACTTATCTTTTCTTTTTTCTTTTTCAAATTCCTTTGCAAATTTATGAACCAAACACATCATAAGACGATTTGGATGCTGTTGTTTTTCTTTATTTAAATTTCATGCACAAAACAAGTTGTTTCCTAAGTTTAAACCCTTCATTTTCCTTGGCTATTGTTCAAATACTCCAACTGTGTTTGGATTATAGATTTGAATAGAAATTTTGAAATGGAAAAGGAGAAAGGTGAGAACAATGTGAATAAACTGTAAGCTAATTTTTTCTTCATTTCTCTATTACTTTCCTTTTTTAAATTCTTATCTAAATTTATAATCCAAACACAACGTAGAGAATACTAATAATTTAATCTTTTAAATGTTACTTACCAATAAAGATTTTAACCGTTGTTGGTATCTTGCATTATACAATAGTATTTTATAGGACAGAAAATATTATTTTGTCCCCAAACTATCACTTAAAAATTAATTTAACCTCTATTCTTTTGATATTATCAATTGATTTTGTATTAATTTTACCCCACCGTTAATTGTAGTCTATGATCAAATAGAAGTTGTTGATGTGATACCAAAATTTCATTTAAATATTTATTTATCTCCAAACCATTCCCAAAACTCCTGAATAAAATGAAAATTTGGGATAAAGTAACAATATCACAAACACTGATACAGTTAAGTTTAATGGACTTGCAGCTTATTTTCAGAGTCGACCATATATTTGGCAACTATCGAAAACTTACTATCACAGACATAAATGGATCAATAGAGATGTGGCAGAACCAACTTGATGTTGGCCGCATTGACAAAGTGACGTTCATCTTGGTCCAATTTTGCGGGAAATTATCAAGTGTGATCTCGTTGAATTTTGTGCGACAACTACGACTTCTACAACAGCTGAAGGTATGGTGGTGTGATTCACTGGAAACAATATTTGACCTCCAAGGGTCGGTATGCGCTAGTACTATTGGTGAGGAAAGATCAGCAACGACTGTGTTAAAACATATGAAATTGATGTATTTGCCCAAGTTGATGCATATATGGATGAATGTTTCTCAACACACTTGGGGTTTCACAAATCTAATTTCCCTAGAAGTGGAGAAGTGTGACAACCTGAGATATATATTCCCAATTTCCATGGTCAAGGGCCTTGTGTCTCTAAAATATCTAAGAATTGAAAATTGCGAGAAAGTAGAAAAGATTGTCATCGGGAAAGCAGAAGAAGAAAGGGGCAAAATCAATATTTTGAGCGTGGAACTTCAAAATCTTCCGAGTCTCGTGTGTATTGGAATTCCAGAATCTCAAATTCATATCTCCAAATTGCATGTAGATTTCTGCCCCAAGTATCGAGGTAACCAATTATACTTCTATGCAAATATGTTTCTTTCGTTTTAGTTGTTTTCCAAATAAAACTCTCTCAAGAACAAGAAAGCAACTTCACTACCCCATATACCTGTCACATCAACATCTCCCAAAATGGGAGCAGTTTAAGGAAGAAGATTCTCTTTAACATTTTCTTCATCCATTCATCATTCAATAGTTGATCCAAAAGCCACAACTGATGATAATGATTAATTGTTAAATTGTTGGATGAAGAAATTGCCGGAGAGGGTTCGAATCTGCAATTTAGTTGTTGTCATCCATGGTCTGGTTACATCCAGTCGGACCTGTTGGCTTCATTTAGCATAAAACATGTGATGATTGAAGCTAACACCTTGAGAAACCACTCACATTTTGTTTTTCCTAATAACTCAAGAAAGTAACTTTCACTGCACTGTACTTGCCACAGTTTATCTAAAATAATAATAAGAAAAGAAAAATGCTACATATAATTATATTTCTAATTACCTCATTTCTCAGACACAAATGAATGGGTCCTTTATATATGCATTTATGAATATGAATCCCATTATTTTGTGTCTAGAAATGATAAAAAGAGGTAAGAAATGAAATTACATATAGTATTGTTCTAATAATAATAATAAGGTCTCCAAAAGTACCTATCCTTAATATGCATGTTCTTAATCTTAAGATATAATTATTGTCTCCAACAATTGGTATATTTCAGAAATTAGTAGTATATCCTCCACATCATTGCCTATATTATAGCCATGTTTGTTTGGACAGACTAAATAAGAGGGGGATTGTAATACATTAGACTATTAATCTTGAGATGCATAATCTCTGAACTATTTGGTTGGAAATGATGTGTATCCCATGTTTGTTTAGTTATGAAATTAGATGTGAGGAAAAGACTATTTTATTGAATCATATGCTTGTTTGGGGAAATTCTACTTACACCACTAGTTTAACTTTTTACACTCTCAAAACATAATTTTTTTATGGGTGATTCTATTTACACACCACATAAAGACTCAGTGCACACTATTTTCTCAATACACACCACATACATTTTGAATTTTTTGACTTTTCCTCAATACACCCCATTAATTTTTGTATAATACCAACATTATGCTTTGTCCCCCTTTCTCTTTTTTCCTTTTCATCCTTATTGATGTAAACTCATATGTAATGTATGTTTTCTTCATCAATAAAAATTTTCTTCGCTGATCAAATTTTTTTTGTATAATACCAAAATAACCATATCATCTTCCCAAACTTTTAAACCCTAACCCTAACATCATCGGCCACCACCGCCTTCTGCCAGCGTCGTTTCCCCCCTAGCTTCTCCTAGCCTCCTATTACCATCGCCCCTCCCTAGTCTCTCTTCCCTTCCTGCCACTGCTTCCTCTTCTCTAACCTTCATTCCCTTGCTTCACAGCTCCTTTTTGTCGTGGATGCCTCCTACTACCACTATCGTCACAGCCCCCTCCCTTTCAGTTACGATTGCTAGATCGCGATCTTTATCCCACATTCGATTTCTCTTTGTTTGTCTCACCTTCGATTTCTCTCTCTTTCTCTCTCTCTCTCTCTCTCTCACAATCGCGATTTCTTCCCATCGCTGCTCACTCTTCAACCCTCTTCTCCTCCCTCTCAACTTCCCCAGACATTGAAACCTTAGAAAAAAATAGAAGAAGAAGGTTGGGAAGGGGGTGTGGTAGAAGAGAAGGGAGATGGAAGGCAACTGTTAAGGGAAAAAGGTTAGGTAGGGGTGGTGCCGGCACGACATTGGTGTTGGGTTGTGGCTGGTGTATATTTTAAGGAATGGTGATTGGTATGTAGAATTTGTCCAAAAAGTAATTTAATTAAGGGATAAATTTGAAAATAAAAAACAAAATAGAAAATGGTATGGACTAAGAGGTTAAGTGGCGTGTAAATAGAATTTCCCTTTTTTTTATTTTGCATTTTTGTAATTTCTATAATTATTTTATTACCTTCAACCCTAACTTCCTCTTTCTCTATACACCCAAAACCTAAAAACCCTAACCCTAACACCCATTTTCATCTCCTTTCTCTCTCGCTTCCTCATTGCCATTGCCGCCAGGTATCGCCACTATCACCACCGAGCTTGTTTTTCGCGAGCCTTGTGAATCCTCCTCCTCCTCCTCTTTCTCATCATCATCAATCATCACATGCACTAAAACTGTTGAAGATGCATATATATATATATATATATATATCATTTTCTCTCTTTATACATAAACACTCAACAGGTCCTACAATACAATTGTTTCCATTCCACCATCATTATCATCATCATCATCATCCTTATCATCATCATCAATTGTGTGTATAGATGTGAACATAACAATCAAAGGAGGAAAAGCTTCTGGATCGAAATCGCGGCCGTAGGGTTCCTCGCCACCGCCTCCTCTATTGCCGGAAACCTAAATCCCCACCAAAAATTTACCACCGCACATTTCATCACTAGAACAATAGTCTTCGCGCTCACCTCCATTCCACTCAACAACCAACCAATCAAGCTAACCGTCGCCAACTCCAATGTCAAAGCCGCAATTCTCTTGTCGGAGAACATTGGGTTCTTCACCAGCGTCTCGATCACCTCCATCGATGAATCATGTTCGGAGATCGAACCATTAGGTTTTGAATTAATACTTTTTGTAAAAAAGTCCAATGATTGGGACATTTTGATACAAAAATCACCGAATTAGGGCATGAAGTGGATGAAGAAGCTAGGGTTTTGGTTCTCAATGAGATTTAACACAGAGCTCATATCATGGGACATGGAATCAGCGATCCGAAGTGCCTAATCCTAGTTTTGAACACGAGATTGAAATTGTTTTGCGAATCGTTAGGTTGATATGCGATCTTCAGAGAAGGACCAGAATCAAAGAAAGCTTTGAGATTCAGAGACAGTTCTTTTGATTCTCCAACAATGATTCCAAATTGGAATGGCAACCCCAGGATGTTGAGAGGGAATCTCTTGAAGATCACTGAATAACACCACTATTAGATACAATGATTCAACACAATTGATTGTTTTCTGAATATCACTACGAAAATTATCCAATTTGTTTATGAGATTTTGTATGTAAATGTTTATATCTTTGTTTGATTTTAGGTTTGAAATTTATAATGTAATTTTGTATCTTGTTCTATGAATCATGTTTTGCACGAGCCACTAGTGGTGACGGTCGGTGGTAATGGCAGTGAAGAGGATAGAGATGAGATAAAAATGAGTGCTAGGGTTTAGGGGTTTTAGGTTTTGGGTGTAACTTGTAAATAGAAGGAAGAAGGCTAAGGATGAGGGTAATAAACTACTTATAGAGATTATAAAAATATAAAATATAATATATTATAGGGTAAATTAGCAATAGGTCATAATAGTTAGACTTAGGCCAAGTTTGGGGACTTTAAAAAAAGTCAAAAAGTCAAAAAGTTACTCAAAAAGTTAAAAAGTTAACACTATTCACCAAAAGTCAACAATTACGGCTGCACAACTCTCAATTCAAATTTTTTCCTACAAATCAATTTTTACACTTTTTTATTACACATTTTTCAATAAAAAGTCAAAAAGTTAACCCAAATATCCATATTTTCAACCTCAATTTTTTAGTTCAAAAAGACAAAAAGTATACTTTTTTAGTCTTCCCAAACTTGACCTTAATTCCCATCAAATCCTATTGAAAATAAGTCATAATAAAATCGTTGCTAAAAGTTATTTTTTGAGACAATTTTTTGTATATGTCGCTAAAAATTAACAATTGGTGACTTTTTTTTTGTCATGGTTTTTATAATCTGTCGCTAAAACTTACAATTAGTGATTTTTCTGTGATGAATTTTTCAAATTGTCGTTGAAAGTTGAAAATTAGTGACCTTTTTTGTGACCATTTTTTTAAACGGTCGTTAAAATTTATAATTAGTGACATTTTTTTATGGAAGAAATTTCAAACTGCCGATGAAAATTAACAATTAGTGACGTTTTTTAAATAATATTTGATGAAAAATGCCATTAACTATCACATGACTCATTGAATAATAAGTCCATCTATTAGGACTTACACGTAAATTTCCTAAATTATTATATTTTGAGGGTGTAAGGAATTAAATTAGTGGTGTAAGCAGAATTTTCCGTTTGTTTGGGATGTTATGAAGAAGCATAAACACTCAAAAGACTATTTTATCCTTTTGAATTTACTAAATAATAGAAATACTAAATTTGAATTATAAATTATATTTTATTTTTTGGCTAAAACTTTTAAAAAATTAAATAAATAGAACATCAATAAAATTTAAATAAATTTATTTTAATTTTTTGTTGAGACTTTTAAATTTTATTTTATTTTACTAAGTATAATAATCTGGAGGGCCAAAAATGTCATTTTACCCTCTAATTAGGAGGAGGAGGAGTTATCCCACCATTTTGTATCCCACACCCCCATGGGACACAATAATTCCACAAATAAGAGATTGATAGCTCAGGTTACATTTTCTGAACCAAACATTAGACTATTATATAGAATGGACATAGAGTCCTATCCTATTTCTAATCTCCAAACAAACACCCACTAATTTCTTAACAATGTGATTGTCACTATATAGTATTGGTTAGCAATAGATTGATTCATTAACTTATGCTCTGTTTGGATATTTGGAGAGAGATTTAGAAACAAAAAGTGAAAAAAAAAAAAAAATTTAACTTATATTTCATTTTCATTATTATCACATTTTTTATTTTTCTTTCTAAATCTTTACCCAAATCCATGGTTTAAACATAGATCATGATTTTGGATAGGGATTTGAAAAGGGAAGAAAAAAGTGAATAAAATGTGAATGAAAATATAAGTTAATTTTATTTTTTTTTCTCTATTTTCATTTTCATTTACCTTTTTCATTTTCTCTTTATCCAAAGTTATGATTCCAAAAACAATTCAAAGGTACGTGCTTGGTTATCTTTATTTATTTATTTATTATTTATTTTTGCCAATAGGTAGAAGATTAATTACAAATTACAAATCTATCTATCTATATATGATTACATAAATAAAAATATTGTGTGGTGATTGAAGCTCAAAATCTCAATTTATTTTAAAAAAGTTGATTCTTTTTTTTTTTTTGTTTCTTATAGGTCATAAATGACAGTCTAAATGACTTAATAGTTGAGACACCTCTGGTAAATGATATTCGGTAGGAGAGATGGTGTTGATGCTACTAATGTATCAAATCATCAGGGGCGGCCCAACCCTTTTGGGGGCCTAAGGAAAATTTTTAAATTGAGGCCTCTTACTATTTAAATATTAATAATAATTTTCAATATTTTATTTTCATATTTTCATGTGAAATTATTTTTTCTTGTTTTTGTGATGTAAAATGATTCAAATTTTTTAAATTGTTCAAACTTACACTCAATTGAAGAAATAATTAGATCTATTATATATATGAATAATTAGTTTTTAAAAGAGTTTTCAGTAGATTGCGTTGTCTTATAATTAATAATTTTTATCAAACTGTATTTTTTATACAAATTATATATACTTTAATATAGGAAGATAAATTATTAGAATGGGAGACATTTATAAAGTATTCCTACAATTTTCTTTTATTTACTCCTGATATGTAATTCTCTAGATTTTTGCAAAACTCTTGTGCTATGTTTGATTCATGAATTTGAATAAAAATTTGGAAAGGAAAAGAAAAATGGAGAATTATATTATCTTATATTTTATTCATATTTCATTTACTTTTTTCATTTTTCTTTTCAAATTCCTAATGAAATCTCTGACGCAAGCACAACCTTGAAATTTCTTGTGAGTCTCTTATTTACACAAAATTAGAAATCAATAAAACTACCATAGCATGTTATTGTTTTTGGTTCCTTAATTAATAAAATTGAAGGGTTCAGTTTAATGATAAATTTTCTTTAACTTTAATTGAACCAAACCAAACCTGCTTATATCCTTAATAGAGACTGAAAAAAAATAGAAGATTGAAAAGATCTATGCCGGGACTTATATATAAAAGCAGTAAGGCCTTTTATTACCACTTATGAAGCTTTTGTATAACTGAAGTCTGTAAATACCTACATAAATTATGGGGCCTCACATAAGGGTGAGGCCTAAGGAGCAAGGATCCCCTCTTTGCATCATTCTCTACTTATAGGGTCATTGGGCCTACTTTTAGGCCCAATTTTGATAATCCGAACCGTTCATATTTTAAGATTTGTTCAGTATATCATTCCTGTAAAAATTCAAGTTGATCAGATATCAGAAAACATGTGTTCGGAAAAATTGAACTAAAAACTAATTTTTTTTTAAATTTAATAAACAGTTTTCCGAACACATGCTTTCTGATATCCGACCAACTTGATTTTTTACAAATATGATATACTGAACAAATCTTAAAATATGAACAGCTCGTATTATCAAAATTAGGCCTAAAAATGAATCCAATAACCTTACAAATAAAAAATACAAGGAGAAAGTACAAGGAAGGGATCTCGACTCAGTCCTAAGAGCCTAAGGTAAGGCTGGCCCCCCAACTTATTAGCTATAATTTTAGTTTTAGTAATCATTTGGTACTTGCCACATGCAGGCAGGGGCCCCCCAACTTATTAGCTATAATTTTAGTTTTAGTAATCATTTGGTACTTGCCACATGCAGGCAGGTTATGATGGGGAAGGGGAGTAGTATTTACCGTTAGCTGTGGTGGATCGCCAATCTCTTCACAGAAAAGGTATGCATTATTGCTATACACACACCACCACCACCACCACCACAACAACAACAATAATAATAATAATAATAATAATAAAAAGTAAAAAAAATATTACATCAAATGCCTCTTCGTCCTGTTCATAAATATACCGTGGGTTTATCTGTTTATGCTCATATCTTTAAATTTTTAGTGTACATATTTATATTTGGTTTTGTTACAAAATAAAGAAGAGATATACTTTTACACACAATAAGAGCTGGAAAGAGTATATTAATCTGCTCAACTTTATTGATAAACCAAACAGCCATTATATAGGCAAGTAAACAAACTGATAGTAGCAAGAAAACAGGAACTACTAAAGCATGAAATTAGGAACTGCAATGACTGCATAGCAGGCTCAACTTACTCCTAAAACTAAGCCAAAGTAGGCCATGTACAGCAACTAACTAGGAACAGCAGTAAACAAACTTCCTAAAGACTAGGACAACTCCTTGATTTTTCTAACAATCCCTCCCTTAAACTGATGTTTCAACACAGTTTACTGAAGGTATCCGAAGTGCAAACACCGAGCATTTTTCTTAGCTTCTGAAACGCAGGAAACTTGAGAGACTTTGTTAAAATATCAGCAACTTGGTCTTCACTTCTGCAGTAAATTAGATCAATGGCTCCATCATTCATGAGATCCCTCAAGAAATGATACTTCACATCTATATGTTTGCTTCGGCCATGCAGAACAGGATTTCTTGACAGCTTTATTGTTGAAGTGTTGTCACAATAAATTAGAGTAGGCTCATCTTCCTTGAACTGTAGCTCTTTAAGAATCTTCTTTAGCCAAATAGCTTGACAAGCACAAGCTGCTGCAGCAACAAATTCAGCTTCTGTAGTTGATAAAGTCACGATTGATTGCTTCCTTGATGACCATGAAACTGCTCCTGTCCCCATCTTGAATACATACCTCGATGTGCTTTTCCGATCATCTGAATCTCCTGCGTAATCACTATCTGTAAAGCCATACAAATTTGATTTTTCTCCCTTCTTGTAGAACAGCCCAAACTCCTTAGTACCTTGCAAGTACCGAAAAATTCTTTTTGCAACCAAGAGATGAAGCTCTGTAGGACACTCCATGTACCTACTAATGACACTTACAGCATGCATTATATCAGGCCTTGTTGCAGTCAAATACATTAAACTCCCCACAATCTGCTTGTAAAGAGTGTTGTCGACCTTCGTTCCTCCATTATCTTTGTTTAGCTTTAAGCCAAACTCAGATGGTGTAGTCACAGGATTACAATCCTTCATTTGGAACCTGTCCAAGATTTCTCCCACGTACTTCTTTTGAGAAATAAAAATTCCCGTAGACGACTGCACTACTTCAATGCCAAGATAATAATGCATCATGCCAAGATCGGACATCTCAAATTCAACCATCATGGATTTCTTAAAACTTTCAAACATGGCTGTATTATTTCCAGTGTAGATTAAATCATCTACATATAAGCAAACAATAAGCATGTTCCCTCCTTCTTCACTTTTTATAAAAAAGTGTATGTTCATAAGGACATTTTTGAAATCCTTCCTTCAAAAAATAAGTCTCTATGCGATTATACCAAGCTCGTGGAGCTTGTTTTAATCCATATAGAGCCTTTTTTAACCTATACACTTTATGTTCATTGCCAAGTTTCACAAAACCAGGAGGTTGATCAATGAATACCTCTTCTTTCAAATCTCCATGGAGGAATGCTGATTTCACGTCCAATTGGAAAATAGGCCATGAGTTTTGAGCTGCCAATGCAATTACCAATCTGATTGTGTCATGCCTTGCAACCGGAGCAAAGACTTCTTTGTAATCAACACCAAACTCTTGCTTGTAGCCCTTAGCCACCAAGCGGGCTTTGTACTTGTCAACTTCACCATTCTCCTTCAGCTTTGTCTTGTAAACCCACTTTACACCAATTGTTTTGTGCCCTTCTGGAAGATCAGATAACTCCCATGTATCATTTTTCCTTATGGCTGCAATTTCTTCATCCATAGCCTTCCGCCATTTTGATTCTTTGACAGCATTTTCGAAAACTGTAGGATCACAGTCCGAAAATAGTGCAAAGTGAGTGAGTGCGTCTTCAGATTGATCAATTCCGGTTACCTCATAGTCCGACATCCACGCCGGTCTTCTTCTGGCACGTTGAGGTCGTTCCTCTTCTTCGGTAGCTGCTGGAATTGGCTGCTGTTCATTCTCCACCAGCTGCTGATAGGATTGTATAGCTTATAAGCTTTTGATTGATCACTAACACCAAGAAAAATGCATTTTTCTCCCTTATCATCTAGCTTTCTCCTCTTCTCGTTTGGAATATGGGCATATGCAACACACCCAAAAATTCTGAAGTGACCCACCGCTGGTCTTCGTCCGCTCCATGCTTCCTCCGGTGTTATATTTTGAACAGCAAGAGTGGGACTTCTGTTCAAAATATGAATACTCCAATTTACTGCTTCAGGCCAAAAACTTTTTGGAACTCCACTTCTTAACAAAAGGCTTCGCACCATATTCATAATAGTGCGATTTTTTCTCTCACAAACGCCATTTTGCGGGGACGTATAAGCTACAGTAAGTTGCCTCTTGATTCCATGGGTCTCACAGAAATTTGCAAATTCATGTGAGTTATATTCTCCACCACGATCCGTGCGAAGAACTTTTATGAGCTGTCCAACCTCTTTCTCAACTAGAGCTTTGAAGCTTTTAAAGGCTGCAAAAGCTTCAGATTTTTCCTGCAACAAATAGACCCATATCTTCCTGCTATAATCATCAATGAAGGTAATTATGTATCTTTTACCTCCATTGGAACATGGAGTTATTGGCCCGCAAATGTCGGAATGAACAAGTTCCAATGCCTTCTTCGCTCTCCATGATTTCCCTTGTGAAAACTGATTACGGTGTTGTTTGCTAACAACACATTCTTCAAAAACTTCAGAGGGAGCTGTGATTTGAGGAAGACCAATCACCATATCTTTCTGCTGTAGCGTCTTCAGTCCACCAAAGTTTAGGTGGCCATAGCGAAAATGCCATAGCTATGCTGCATCCCTTAATTTTGCTGAGAAGCATGAGTGAGTCGTGTTGTTGAGATACAATGGAAACATTCGGTTGGCTGTCATGTTTACTTGAGCCACCAAGCCCAATTTTTCATCTACAATTCTGCAGACTCCGTTTTTTATAGAGATTCCATATCCCTTTTCTTGAAGTTGATCAACACTGAGTAAATTTGTTCTCAAATCTGGAACAAAAAGGACATTAGAGATAGTTTGAATAGAATTTTTGTTGGTTTGAATTGCTACCTTTCCTTTTCCCATAACAGAGACTTTAGAATCATCACCAAACTTCACAACATCACGAAAGGCTTCGTCCAACTCAGAGAATGCAGACTTCTCTCCACACATATGGTTGCTGCAACCAGTGTCTAAGTACCACAGATTCTTGTGGATTTCCTCCTTCACGTGACACACCATCAAAAGAGACACCTCTTCTTCCTTTTCTGCAAAGTTAGTTCTTTCTCCACTTTGTCTATTCAAATTAGTTTGACAATCCCACTGATAGTGGCCATACCTATGACATCTGTAGCATTCAACATTGGACTTGTCTGCTGACTTTGGTCTAGTTGATTGATGGCCTCCATGTCCTCTTCCTCTTCCTTGAAATTGATTCTTTTGGTGATGGTTTTGTTGTTGATTTCCATGATCATTGTTGTCTCTGCCTCCTCTACCGCGACCTCTACCTCTTCCTCGTCCTCTATCAACTCTACTTGGTGTAGAGTGATTTTCAGATGAGACCTCCAATGCATGTTCCTCTTTCTCCTGTTGGTTAATTTTTTGCTCATGAACCAACAAAGAGCTTTGCAATTCATCAATTGAAAGTTCATCAACATCATTAGATTCTTCTATAGAACAGACAACAAAATTAAGTTTTGGTGTCATGGATCGAAGAATCTTCTCAACAATGGTGACATCCTCTGCCTTGTCTCCATAGATCCGCATCTTGTTGACGATTGCCATCGTTCTTGCAAAATAATCTGTCACCGACTCTCCTACTTTCATTCGAAGCATTTCAAACTCCGAACGAAATGCTTGAAGCTGCTGCCTCTTCGCTCTTGTTGTCCCTTGATACTTTTTCTTCATGGAATCCCAAATATGCTTGGAGGTATCCTTACAAAGAATTGTTTCCAAGATGGAGCGATCGATAGCTTGGAAAAGATAATTCTTTGCCTTGAGATCTTTCAGCTTCAGTGCTTCAAGCTCCGACTTCTGTGCATCTGTCAGCACAACACCTTCGGCTGGTTCTGGTATTCCAGAAACAACCACCGGCCAGTATTCTTTGGATCGCAAGAAGTTCTCAATTAGCATGCTCCAATGATCATAGTGACCATCAAAGCGAGGAATGGATGGTTGCACAAAATTTTCTGAAGCCATCGATCTTGTCTGCTACTGCAAAAGAAAAAAGGTGATAGAGAAATAGAACTGCTGCTATATCACTCTTTGTCTCACTTTTTCACTCGGAGGCTCTGATACCACTGTTACAAAATAAAGAAGAGATATACTTTTACACACAATAAGAGCTGGAAAGAGTATATTAATCTGCTCAACTTTATTGATAAACCAAACAGCCATTATATAGGCAAGTAAACAAACTGATAGTAGCAAGAAAACAGGAACTACTAAAGCATGAAATTAGGAACTGCAGTGACTGCATAGCAGGCTCAACTTACTCCTAAAACTAAGCCAAAGTAGGCCATGTACAGCAACTAACTAGGAACAGCAGTAAACAAACTTCCTAAAGACTAGGACAACTCCTTGATTTTTCTAACAGGTTTGAGGCCTTCCAAATAATATTTTCTTGGATAAATTATATTGATAGTCCCTATATTTTGGCTCTTGTGTCATTTTAGTCCTTATAATTTCAATTGATTTAATTTTTATCTACAATTTATGATTTTGTCTTAATTTTGTCCAGTTGATTATAATTGCTAGCATTTTTTAATAAAAAAATACGCTCATAAACGACGTTTGTCTTGCTTTTGGGGTAAAATTGTAAACTAGATTAACTTAGTAAGTTAATTTCAACAAACTCAATGATAATTCTCCGTTAAAAAACCCTAGAGACATTATTTAGACCAAATTGACCTAAAACAAAAAATTAAAGATTAAAATTGAGTCAATTAAAAGTGTAACCAAAATAACACAAGGGGCAAGTGTAAAGACTATCACTGTAATTCACCCTATTATTATCTTTTAAGAATCTTAACACTCTGCTAAACCGTTTCATTGTGTGAAGTAAAGAGCAGTAGTTTTTGTTCTTTGGTTGTTTACAGAATTCATTTGTGTGAATTAAAGAAATAGTTTTATTTTTTTTAATCAACAAAGAAAAAAATTGTATTGAAGAGAGAAATTTCCTGTGCAGTCTGTCCAATTCTCCTAAAATTGCTTGAGGGATCCTGAACAAGGATAAATCAGTAGACTATTAGGTTGGCCAAAGTTTAGACAAAATTTAAATGTATCAATTTTTATTTTCGTACAGTATAATTTTGATGTTACTATATGTAGAGTTCATTTCATTGGCCAGGTACGTTTAAAATAAATTAATCATATATCAAATACAAGAGTTTATTATTATTCTCTAATTTAATGTAAGTTTATCTTGTTCAAATTATGATGATTTAATTATCACAAACAATTCTCTAACCAATATGTTTGTACTAGTTATTTCTTTTTTCTTCCCCAACATCTTACCGCCGCCACCACCACTACAACACACCATGACTATTAGCAACTGTTATTTCAAAGTTCTAGCTAAATATTAGAAAATATTTCCTATGTATTATTTTCTAACCATGACATTAAAAAAAAAAAAAACATAAAATATTTTACCGAAACAAACGGAGCATAAATTTATAAAATTAATTACATTTATGGATAGTACAAACATATTAATCTGAAATTGTGTCAAGATGAAGTCTTATTTGATGGTATTTCATAGCTATATTATATATACACAAAATCATTGAGAGTAAACTCTTTATCACTAATTCAGTAAAAAAAAAAAAAAAAAAAAAAAAATTGTCTTTAAAAGCAATGCCAATTGAGTCCCAAAGAAATGGGTAAAAACTCACTGGGATGAGTTCAGCTTAGTTAGATCAGACGCCAGTTGAGTTTTTTCGTACAGAAATTTCATCTTAGGTTCAGTGACTCATAATGTTACATTTCTGAAGACAAGACAATCTATTGCTGTATATCTAATTTTGAAAGTGATATAGGTATTGTTCTCAAAAGAAACTTTTGTATGAATAATTCTTTGCTAAAGCAATTTTCTTTCCAAACTACCTTAAATAGAAACATTGTACAATGAATGGGCTTCTCAACAGTTGACCTTTTGGATTGTACAGATTCCACTATGAGGATTTGAACCTTTCATTTTATAAACAGTGTGTGTAAGTTATTCATAAAAATTCAAATTTATTTGATAATCACAATATTATGATTTTATCATCTTTGCTTTCAAAAGAAATGAAATTTATTTTTTTGAAGATAAAGATGATAAAATCATGTTATAATTATCAAATCAATCTAATTATATTTAGAAGTAATACTACAATGACCATGTCTTTATGTCGAGAAATTTTTGTATGCCATATAAGATTTAGTATCTCATTTATCATAAATACGTTGATTGAATAAATCTCACCATTTATGCTTATTATCAATACAATGATAACACATTCCATGATAAACCAAATGAGGTACAACGACATAATCATTGTGGCATTACTTCTAAAAACAATTGGAGAACTGTTGAGAAGCCCAAAGAGAACTCTGTGCAATCCAAATGGAAAAATTGTCAACAAGCCCATTCCAGGTATAAATACTTTGCCCAATTACTTTTTCAAAATTTGATAACAAAAATTTATTAGGAAAAATTACATTTAACCTCCTTTGAGATTAAAGAAAGTACAATAAATTTTACAAATTTAACATAATTATATTAAACTCTCTTAATATTTTAATTCACAGAACACTTAGTCCATTTTTCATTAATAATTTGTTAATCATATGGATTGAAAATTAATATTATCTCTTTTATATTGAAATATGTATTTTACATTATTTATCTTTATGTTTTCAAACCATGTACATTCATTTCAATCATTTCAACCTTATTAAAAGAGAAGTCAGTGAAATTATGTAAAAATTATGGGAGTTGTATTTATCCTTCAAATCTTAGGAGAAGTCAGTGTAAATTGATAGATATTTGGCTCTTACGTGAAATCACATTTAATTATTCTATTTGGCAATGCCTTAACAAAAGATTAATATATATTGTCGAGCATCTATATTGCATATATGTTTGACCTCCATTATTAACTTGATTATAAATGTTGCCAAGCCTAAAACATGTTGCACCCAACATACACAAGCACATTGAATGTAATAGCTTTCAACCAGTCTTTAATGTCTTTCATTTTCAAAATTTGATTGCCGCTGATTTCCTAGGTATGCTTTTCTTAATAAAGAAGTTGGAGAAAGAGATTTTGGCCCTATATATGAAAAAACCAAGGCTACAAGCTGTTCTTATATATGAACAAACTGTTTAGTTATTATAATTACATTTTATCTATCGTTGGGTTTGTATAAAGCACATTGAATGTAGTTGCTTTTAATTAGCATGTATTCATTTTCAAAATTTGATCGCAAATGTTTTGCTAGGTATGTTGTTCTTGATAAATAGGAGATGGGAGGATCTACTCAATTTCTATGAAGATCAAAAAGCTGGAGAAGTAGATAGCAGCGCTATTTATGCAAAAATCGGCTAGAACTTTACTAGGTGTTCTTATTTATGAAAAACTGTTTAGTTGTTATGATTTCGTTTTAACTTTTGTCCGAACTTGAAAAAAAAAAAAACAAAACAAAACAAAAAAAAAAAAACCAAAACCAAAACCAAAACCAAAACAAAAACTATATATTGTCCCAACCTGAATAATTTGTTTGCTATTATGTGGTATTGCTAGGTTTGTATTAGTGTGTCTTTTTGCGGTATTGCTTGGTTGATTGTGCTTTTTGTTTTGTGGTACAACTGAATTAACTTTATTATTGGCCATGTAATAATTTGTGTTTGAATTTATGTGTAATTGCAACAATGCCATTATTATTTGATGTAAGTTGTTGTTTTTTTTGGTTTTTTTGGTTTTTTTTTTAATTTGACTTATTGTTGACGTACTTCTAAATATGATTTTTTTTTTTAGTTTTTAAATTGCATATTTTAAATATGCAATTTATTATCTAGCCTCTGTTGCTATCTTTGTTTAGCTAATTCATAACCATGAATTGTATGTTATGAGCAAATTGATAAAAATATCTTATTAGAGAGTAAATATTTCTAAATTAACAAAAGAAAATTCTAGATTGAAAAAATAGTATTGCTTGAGTCACTACTTAACTTTATTGAATTGCTTGAAAGTATTGCACAGGAGAGCAGACTCTGAACTCAAAAATCATTATATAATCAATTTTAGACTATGTTTGATTCATAAATTTAGGTAACAAATTGAAAGAAAGGAAAAAGTTAAGTGAAATGTGAATAGAATATAATTACATTTCACACATTTTTTCTCTTTTCTTTATAAATCTCTATTTAAATTTATGAACCAAACACAGTTTTAAAAAAATTCTTATCTTATAGAGAACTTTTTTTGAAAAAAATTTATAGAGAACTTATTTGCACACAAAAAACATGTGTGAGCTTGTTCGTTTTTGTTTCTTCACACAACGACCGAAAAAGAAAAGGAAAATATTAATAGTGTATCAAACTCTTGCCCCATTTTTCTTGTTAGTGTATATTAGTGTATCATCATTGTGTTTGTTAGTGTAGTGTAGCATTATGTTAGTGTATCATTATTTAATTGTTCATAGTGTAGCACCTTCGGTGGGCAATCATCCAAGGCATCCTATATAAATAGAGTGCCTTCTTTGTGTAATTGATATATACAATTTATAGAAACAATTGTGCCACTCTCTCTCTCTATTCGCTCATCTCTATCTTCTCTCACTTTCTCCAATTATTATTTCATTTCTCTTGGTCTAAATATTCTTTAATCAAGTAGGTATATATGGTTTAGTTTATAATTTATTTGTATGTTGTTCTTTACTTATCTTATTTTTGGTATTAATTTTCTTTGCGAGTTCATATGCACATATGCCAAAAGATAAGGAATCTATCTATTATTTTACTTTACCCTACTCCATCAATATTCTTCTAAACAGAATCTGAGTGTAGAAGGTCCCCGGCATCACTAATGAGGAAGTGATTATTATTTTCTTCAAGATCCACTGATTTCCTCAAAACTAGTTCATCTTTTCTATTAAATTTCAAAACAAGCAATCTACCTACACCATTGTGCCTTCAGGTTCCCTTATGATGATTTTGTTTCTTTTTTCGTAACATCCCCTGTAGTTGGATATGGTGGTCCTGTGAGGGAGGTGGTTTTGGTCTTTTTTAGCAAGTTTAGGAAGGTGTCCAATGCCACATATTCCAGTATTTCCACAATAAACTCATTACTCCAATTCCCTACATTTAAACTCTCAATTTGGAAACAAATAAAAACATCAATGAAACACTTTTGTATCCAAGTAGGGCTTACTAAGCCACCCATGGTCTGCCTACTACAAGTAAAATCCTATTGGATTTGTACCTTCAATTTCCTAATAAATTCTCTCTAGCCAAACAAGTTTTTAGATAATAACCCTACTCCAAATGATGTCGTCATCAATTCCTAGTAATCAATCAATGAATGACGTGGTAATATTTTTAACACGTTGCCTAATTTAAATATTCGACAGTTTGATTGATAAACCTCATCCTATCATAAAAAATCCTGACACCACAACACCGATATTCTGCCATTAGTTACACTACTTAATCACCATTACTGATGTCGCACTCAATATTTTTAAAGGCTCAAGGCACACTAAGGCGCCAAAGGTCTCTTGGAGCGTAGGCGTAAAGCGAGGTGCACGTTTCACTGAAGCAAGGCACCTTTTAAGTAAAAAAATAGATAAAAATTAATATAGCCTAATAATTAAAACTTCAACGTAAGAAAAAAATAAAAGAATTCACCTAAGAAGTATGGACACTTCTAAGAAGGTGACGTATACGTGTCGCGTCCGTGTCAGGTACCAACACTCTTTGGACACTTCCGCAACACATGTCTGACACTCTTCAAAACGTGTCTTATTTTTAATTTTTTTTTAAAGATCCGAACACTCTTTAGACACTTGGAAGACACACTTTTCCATTGCTTAAGCACACGTGCCTATTGATTAGACATATGTAAAACTACTTAACAGTTTGAACAAAACAACTTAAGATATAATAATAAAATAAACATCATATAAATTTTACGAATTAGTGTCATATTACATTTTTTTTAATTATCTTTGAATGCTATATTCATAAATTTAATTTAATATATATATATATAATTATATATTTCAAGCATGTCCCCCACGTGTTATGTCCTCTATTTTTTGAAAATTGACGTGTCGGCGTGTTCGTATCGTATTCATGTTGTGTCACGTGTCGGTATCCATGCTTCTTGGGAATTCACAATTAATAACTCTGAGACAGAAAAAAAGAAAAAAAATAAGGTACGTTGTACAAGAATTCCCAAAGCCACAAAAGCACATATCATTACAAATGCAAAATAATCAAGATTCACCAAAACACAAATTTCCCACCAAAAAAAAAAAAAACCAGAAAAATAATCACACAGCAACAAAGTTAGAAAAACTTCCGAAGAGAAATAGACTAGAAGGAGCAACAAATCAGCAAGACGTGTAATGCCCTGAAATTTTCCCACAAGAAAATGCCACAACAAACACAATAATACACCCAAAAAGTCAACCTTCAAATTGAACTAAGAGATAAGTGATTACAATTCACCATATACATTTCCATAATGTTCGGAATTCGTATTCCAATTCAATGAACTAGGTGGCCTTACAAAATATAAGCCTCTAGGGCATACAATTACAACAAAATAGATTAATAGTCTTGTTACAAAAATTCCCATTCAAAATAACAAAATACACATGGATAAACTTTTCCAAAAAGAGCTATTGCTTGACCAATCCTTCACGGAGGTGGTACTTCATCAATTCCTGAAAAACAGGATAAGGTTGTGCTATATGCCCAATAGGAACATATTTAACCATGTATTTAACCCTTTGAATAAGATTATGGTATCTTTACGACAAAACATTATAAGGAAATTTATCTTCACATGTAATCCTTAATAAACATATAGATCCATAACAACCAAATAATAACAATGACTATTCATTTCATCAAGCACAACAATCAAACATTCACAACCATATAACGCAAGCCATGAGTCCACCTATAAGAGTCCAATTTAAAACACCCTTTACTTCTATTTTAAAACCACCCCCACATTTGCCGGCTATCATACGACAGGGAGTGGGCATCCGAAAGAAAACCATCCCTTTTTTCACTTTTGCCGGCTATCATATAGCAGGACTGTGTGGACACCCAAAAATATTTTTTCCACATTTATCCAGCGATAAGCCCAGAAAGGACATTTGGGCACCTTTTTAAACTCCCCGCGCAGGTACCAACACAACACCACATTTGAAAAGCCGACTCTTACCCGGACGCATGCACAATTAACAATTCATTCACATTTTATTCCATCAACAGCCATCCAACATTACCCAAGAATTGAATACAACACAAGATTTAAGGGAAAAAAAAATAACATCTAAGCCACAATTCTTTTACTATATCAACATCCACATCCTTCATATATTTATTACTCACAATATTTCATGAATCAAGGAAATTCCCCTTTCAATGTGGTGTTTTCAACTCAAATGGAGAATCTAGGGTTTTACGAAATTTGGGGGTTTTTCTCCTTTATTATAGATATGGTTTGTAACAACATTTATATGCATGTTTTGAAAAGAGAGAGTAAAGGAATCTCAAGCAAGAGTCAAGTAAAATAGTTTACTTATGTAAAACATGAGATTAACCCAATAATACTCTCCAATTAACTCATAAATTAAAACCATACCATGAAATCCCTTCAAAACAAAGAAATACTAATGTAAAAGTATCCCTACCTCAAGTCGTGAAAAAGAAAGCCCAAAAAACTCAAGGTCGACGAAGCAAAGAATTTCTTGAACCAATAGAAAGCCCTTGACAAGATCTATAAGTTATCTCAAAGGATCAAGGTGAGGAAACACCTCTAAGAGAGTAGATCTAAGGATTGAAGTGGAAAAAGTGAGTTTTTGAGAGAAAGAGAGAGAGACTCTTGGTTTTGAAAGGAAAAAGAGGAGAAAATTATGAGAGAGATGTAGTTTGGGTCTAGTTATAGTAGTAGAGAATAGCCCTAAGGTCATGAAAAAGGATAAGTCCAAAACCCCCAAAAGTAGGGCCCATTCGAACCCTAAAATTTTGAAAAAAACACGCAAGGGTCGACCCTTCGGGCAGAAGTGTCGACCTTTCAGGTAGAAAAGACAATCTGACAGCAAGCAAGGGGTCGACCCTTAGACAGGAAGGGTCGACACTAATTTAACACACAGATTCTATAATATACAAAGGTCGACCCTTCACAGAGTGGTGTCGACCCTTGAGACCAACAACAAAAGAAAGGTGTCGACACCACCAAGGCTGGTGTCGACCCTAAATTCTAGTAACACCTCCAGAAACATTACAACATGCAAAGGTCGACCCATAGGAAGGCTAGTGTCGATCCCAGAACAGAATTTCTAAGTTTCCAAGGAGCTTTTTGACAAGGGAAAAATGAACAAACCCAACGAGTTTAAATCGGATCGTACTCCTTCAAAACAAATATACAACAACTCCAAAGACTTCCAAAATGAAAATAAAGATATTAAGTACACCTTCCAATAGATTAAAATACCCAAGTGTTACAAGGGAATTTCCTTGATTCATGAAATATTGTGAATAATAAATAGATGAAGGATGTGGATGTTGATATAGTAAAAGAATTGTGGCTTGGATGTTATTTTTTTCCCTTAAATCTTATGTTGTATTCAATTCTTGGGTAATGTTGGATGGTTGTTGATGGAATAAAATGTGAA